ATCCTAGACAAACTTCCCTTCACAAACTTTACTTTCAAATGTATCACAAGCGAGACTCAGGGCCTGTCCTTACCCTGGTAGTTGTTTTTCCCTCAACTATTTGCTACCAACATCACCAGCTGCCAGGCAGGTGTTGTCCAGACAGCGACGCTGGCTGGGACCACTCAAGGTCAGCTCGCTGTGCTCCTACTTGTGTCCCCACAACCACCCATTACCAGTGGGTCTCTAGACCAGCATCAACAGAAAAAAAAAAAAAAACAAAACACTGACAAACCACATGAACCCCCATCATTGCTCAGAATAAGGCTCAAGGTGCCAGTGTCCTACCAGGCAAAGCTAAATTAGAAGGAGCTACTGATGACAGGTAAGTTGCTATCAGCCAGACAGATTTATACACAGGACTACACCGCAAAGCACTGCTCATAAAATACCACCATCGAACTGAAGCAGTCCGTGTCTTCACCACGTTTACTATCATAAATGTATTCATTGTAAACTTTAGGTTATCACATTGCCTCTAGACTGTAAATTATCACAGGATTCTAATATGTACCTCCTGAAAGTGGTAATTCTGTGCAAAAGCATTCTGCAGCTCAAATTACAATGAATGCATCTGTTAATTTAGCTAATCAGCAGTTACATTAACGACCTACAAAACAGGGAATAGGAACTGTTGGGTGACTATCTTATGAGCAAAAAAAAAAAAAAAAGGTAATACTGATGCTTTTTTGATGGCATGCCTCATTATAAATAGGTTACCATAAAATAATTTCAGCAGAAACAGCAGTAATGTATATGGCCATTACTGTGTTACAGACTGATAATACACCAGATAATACAGCTAAAGGATGCCTGTTTGAAATATTTCTGTAGATGCAATGTTAACAGGCAGTACAAAAATCCATCTTTTCATCTTGCTTAGTATGGAACATGTTAACTTAGTCACTAATTTATTACAAATGATGTTTGTAATCACAGTTCTGCCTATATTTTACATAAGATTTTACTGGAACTATCACAGCATTTAGACACACTCAGAAAACTTAGATAGCAGATTGTTACAATTTCTGTTCTTATAATGGTAAGTTTTTGATCTGTATCTCAGTCTAAAACCGGTCTTGCCTGCAACATCCCTGTAGCTATCAGGAAGCTCCAGAGCAAGAACCAGAAACCTGCAATGAAGGAGACAGGAATCTTAAATTACTTGAGGCTGGTGCTGCCTGCATTCTACTTTTTCACTGTCAATTCATACATCAACTTTTCAACTGAAACGGATTATATTTAACACCAACCATCTTAGCAAAGTCCACGCAGTGTGAATTTACACCTGGTTAAAGAAGGAAAGAAATACATCATCGTACATGGTCTGATAGAAGAGCATACCAAAAGAAATACTCTACTGAGACGCAGAATGAGGCTATACAGTATCGATCCACCCCGTGACCATAGGTGAGCCAGGGAGAGTGTGCTTCCCCAAAGCCAAGGAGTAGTTTCTCATTAATGCACTGGTGGGTTTGTTGCTGTTTTCCTGTATATACATCAATAAATTATTCTCTGAGAATATTTGCTGCTCTGTGTCACAGCATTTCTGTCTTCTTGTGATGGGGAGCTACAGCTCTGAGATGGACTTACTGTCTCGTTAATGGAGGGACATATGGTCAAATCCCCTAAATGAATCACAGTGAAGAAGTGGCAGGAGCAGGAGAAATAAGAGATGGCATGTTCCATTGCTGCAGCTTCTCCTTGCTTTTGGAAAGTAACTACTTTTTGCATAACCATGTTGTCAGTGTATTTCCAAGACTGGCTTTTAAAGCAGAGGCTCATTACACTGGTCTCGTCTTCAATACATGTCTATTTACTTTATCAATGAGCTTTTGAAGCAGCCTTCAAAGACACTTGCTTAAAACAGGCTTTCCATCCACTAATTAAACCTTAAGAATCCCTTGTAATGAGCAACACATTTTTTCCCAAAAAATGTAAATGTCTAAGGTGGCTGCTCATGTCAGCACTGAAGGGAGAGGTCATTTCTGAAGGATCCTCCATCACAAACATCAGAGAACAGTAAAGTCACTGAAGGGCATCCGAAGCAGAAGCAATTTTCTCACAGTCTTGACACCTTCTAGTAAATTAGTCACTTCTCGAGGAAAATGACAGCTATATAGCAATAGAAAAGCTTGTAAAGCTCTTCATTTACTGTTAGAAATGTTGTCTATGTCGCTGTCAAGCAACAGTAACATCCCCACCCTGTTTCACTCTCGAGTGCCCTATCTCAGGGGCGTTTTGCAAATCATGCCTTAATGAAGTTTAAGTAACAACTAGATTTCTTCGTTCTAAATGCTACTTTTCTCTTACCTGCATGATTGTTTTCTGAATAAGTTAGTCCACTGAAGCTGACACACAAAATGAAAGGCCGTTGTAATTAGTGTAATATCATTCCAAGATAAAGCCATGAAAACTGAAGCTTCAGACAGCTGTCATCTCTTTGGCTATTCTGCTTATTATTCACAGACAAATTCTGGTATCTTTTGCACGTTACACAGTACGTTTACGTGCAATTTCAGGGAAAGCACTTGTGGAACAAGATCTGTAAGTATCTATCTCAGAATCTAGCCTGAGCAAGAATGGAGCTTGAAAGTAATTTCAGACTTAATTTTCCCTCTGGACAGACATCATTCTAAATAGGTGCACATAAACATACACTTTCTTTAGAAATAATTTATATTAATTCAATGCTCTTATATAATTGGCTAGATACAAGTCACTGAAAACTGAAATCCTCTTATTTACATGGCAGTCAGCATATGGACAGCAAAAGAAAAAAAAATTCTAAAAAAGGATGCTCTAAGGAACAGCAAGACTGATTATCTTCAGTGGTAAAAGGGTAATTGCTGTTACATGGTAAAAAAGAAACCGGGCAAATTCATATAAATACTCTTTGGAGAATAAGCACTTACTGGCTAAAAATGCTGACACATTATGCAACTCAATTACTGTGTGGAGTGGTGGTGATACCTTGAATGCAAACTCGTTTGTAGGATGCCTGAATATTGCAGGAAAGCATCTATCTGTAACACCTGGCATTCTTCCACCGATGGCACAGATCTCCCTGAAAAGACCCACAGACTCACAGAATCGTAGAATATAATTTAGAACAGAATGGACCTCTGAAGATCCAATCCCTGCTCTAAGTGGGACTGACCTCAAAGTTAGGAAAGGCTGCTTGAGACCTTATTCAGTTGAGTTTTCAATATCTCCAAGGAATCTACAATCTCTCCAGGCAATCTGGGAATTTCCCTCACTACAAACCCAAATCCCCAGCCTTACCTTGCATGTTATTTCAAAAATATCTCCAAAGAACCCCTTCATGGTGAAGAATGAGAGGATCAGAAGTCCTTCAGTGTCGAGGTCTACATGTTGAAGAGATCCAGCATGGCGTCTAAGTGAATACCACCCTTGGCTAAATGGCTACTGCCTGACAATATGCTCTTGGAGAGTTCACGTAGTTGCAAGGTGAGGTATTAACAGCAGCTTTATGAAAGCTTCCCTTACAAAACACTTCTACAGATAAGATGCGGAATCACTGAAAATCTAGCAGCTTGGTTTTCAGGAGCAATAAGGTCAGAGATAGCAGCTTGGTTTCAGCTGCCTTCTCCATGGAGATCACTCCCGTTGATTGTAGGAAACATCTTCAAAATCTTCTTCCGTGGGTTTCATCTGAAAACTCATTTTCCTGAGACCCCACTCAACCTCAACAATACCTAGCAGACTGGTTCTATCACCACATGTAATTATGAAAACCAAAGGTGTTACAAAAACCATAGTTAATTACAAAAAGTGAATGTGGCACTGAAACAAATTTGACTTAAACCCACCAGGCTATGGGTTTCCTTTCCCACAATTACCCCAGAACAGCACATACCCTATGTAATTGTTGGAGGAATCTCCACAGAGCAAAAATAAGCGTGATACTCTTCTATTATACTTCAAATTCTGTCACAGTAAGATTAATACAAAGTTCATGCACTTACTGGAGCATAAAGATTACCTTCCCCTCACATGGAGATTGAGGAATACATTTCAGGACATCTCAATTTACAGAGCTCTCTTTGAAAACCTTGTAGAAAGGCTTGTGGTCAAAACCTAGTTAAAGATATTTACTCTTTTGAGCTTTAGTTTAAAACACATTTCTTCTTTCAGATACAGCCCACATACTGTCAGGGCTTTTCTTTCTTTCCCTTTGTTTCCAGATTATGTAAGAAATTCACTTCATCCTTAAAGAATAGTTTCTATCCTTGTGAAGGAGTAAATTATTATGTGAACTTTCTTCAGTTAGCATATCTGTATAGTAATTTTTTTTTCAATAAAAATAACCTTTTGTTAAAGGTTTCATTAGATTTCCCAGGAGACTGATAACAGCCAAATCTCTAGCCATCTGCAGGAACCACTACAGACTCTGATCACATACTCTGAGCAGTGAAAATTCTTCCCAACACTTTTATTCAGACAAGGGGATCACTGTATGTTCCAAGTGCTTAATCATGCCGAGGGCAGGAGCCCAAAGCCTTTACCCACGCTGAACTTCCCTAATAGTCTTAATGAAAATCAGGCCTCAGGGCAATTATTAGTAAAATTTAAAATCATGAGGAAATCTTCCTTTCCATTTTTTTTAGCACCAAGAATGGATTACTTCATAGAGGTCTACAAATAGATAGTTCCTTTAAAGCCCAGGTGCTTCATCTTTAGGCAGAGGAGCAGGTTACTGTAAAGATACCTCAACGCCGAGCGTATATCCCCTCCTATACTCCAAGCATACTATCACGTTACTGGTACTTTAACATCCAGCACAGCAGCAAAACTGTGCAATGGCTCCACTTCCCTGAACACTTTAAGTGCTTCAATTGCTTAGTTTCCAAATTAGCTACTGGAAAAGAGTAAAAACGCTACTGAAATGTCACCATCCGACACCTTAAATATTTAGAGGCCGGATGGAGAAAGCTTACCCCTTGACTGCAAACCGTGGCCACACGCCTCACTGTGTCCCGGCACACCCTGTCTCACCGAATCCGGCACCAGCACACAGTGACTCCATCGGTGGGTCTTCCACCTGCGAGAGGAAACGGTTAACGACTCAGCATTAAAACTGGAAAACACTTAACACGTCCTGGCAAAAACTTCAGTTACGAACATGACATACTGTGGAGACTTAGGAAATAAATAGCATCAAAAATTCAGATGCAAGGTTCACCTTCTAGAAAACTGCATCATCCTCTAACCGTGTTTCTCCTCCTCATTTTTGTAGGGCATGGTTTGAAGTCACATAAAATACACAGGAAACATCTTCAGCGGGCTTTGCAACCAGGTTCTCCTCCTGCAAGCCCGTTCCCATACAAGTGATGCTGTACCCAACCTGCTTTCTATGCTAGGATGTGTGCCAGCCAAGAACAGGAGACGGCAGCTACATGGTAGGGAGCCAGGCAGAGCCAAGCGGTGCGACGCCACCTTCACCTCCCCGCTCGGCTCCGAGACCACGTCCTAGGGGATGTGCGGGCTGAAGATTTATATGCAAAGACGTAATGCTTTTTCTATTTACTAATATTGTATAACAGATGGGTCACAGAATTTTAATGAAGAGCGGGGAGAAATTGCCCTATTGTACTATTTGTCTAATCAGAATTTTTTAAAGTGCATATTATTCACCAGAGTGAGAGCACCAGCGGAAAAAGACAAGAGTTTCTGCAATAAGCATACAATTATGATTAAGGCAGTCGAGTGCTTGTGGCCCCAAAATAGCTTACATTGATTTCTAGATAAATTGAGGGGGGAGTTCCCAGTAATAACTTCCTTAAACATATTGAACCCTGAGGTTACCATTTCTAGGAGTTGTGTCTGTTGGTTCTTGTTCTGACGATGCCAGATCTAATGAAACCTCTACTTTGAGGTCTACTTCTACACATTTTGCAAGGTTTATTATTCATGCACTGTCATCTGTTTATAACTCTGCATTTTCCACTTTTATGTCACTTTCTAGTGAAAATTGTGCAATAGAGACATTTCTCAAGAAGTGGGAACCCACTAGCAAGAGACTGATTCCAAGCTAACACTTTTTACCTGTACACTGGACAGATGGGAATATCTTCACATTCTCTTTCCTCATACAAGGTGTCCGGGCATGCTTGTCCCCCATTGGCAGCATCCTGAACAATAATCCTATACCGGGACTGCTTAACTGCGGTGGCATTGCCTGTAAAATAAAGAAAAAAAAAAAATGCCTTCCAGACACAGCTGGCACCCCAAGTTAGTGGGGGTTAAAAACATACTTTGCATTTCATTTATCTTTTGAAATCATGAGCACTCCAGCACTAACCAAAGAAGGGAGGGAATGGTACGTCGGACCGAAAGCTACCATTACTTGCTTTACAATTACCAGTAGTTCAAGCAGAACAACACCTGGAAGGTTGTTAAATGAGCAGCCCAAGAGATGCATCAAAAAATGTTTATTTAACAGAACAATGAATCAGACAAGAAAATAAGTATGAGGAAATACTTAAACACCTGAACAGGAGCAAAGAATAAAAAAAACTCAAACTGTCATAATGGAAGGGGTTTTTTTTTTCTGATAACACATTCTGGTGGTCTCAGGCTGCTACCAGTAACCCATCTTTATGGGTCTAGAAATTACAGATGGTAACTTCCTAATAGGAAAACCACTGCAACAACAGAGGATACCTCTGTACTTAACCTGAGTTGATGCAAGATCAATCCACTTGGAAACACAGTTCACAAAATCTACAGTACGGAATGCAGCATGAAAGACAAGGATAAGATTTATCTAGATATCTCTATAGCTAAAACAAATGCAATCCTTGGCTGCGTAAATGGTAAGTACAAGCTGAGAGCTGGTTTAACCGCTGTGTGCAGCGTTAGCACTTCTTCAGGTACTGTATTCACACTTCAAAAACAGATGCTAGAAAACTGAAAAGGCATCCCAACAGAACTCCGTAAAGGATTTCAGACCAGGCAAACGTCTTTTAATAGTAGATTTCATCAGATTTGTCCAAGAGAGGAAAGCAGTGTGTGAATTAGCCCACTTATACGAGTACTTTTTTTCCAGCTCAAGATAAGGCCAAAGCTGCGGCAGCAAGATTACAGTGCATTAGAGTAGAAGGAAAAATTAGGAAAAGTCACACCATGAACACAAAGTACAAGTACAGATCTAATAAAAATGGTCGGCTCGAATATCAGGTTATAAAAGCCTTCACTCACACACATGCTATCACTGTGAGACCACAGCAAAGGGACCTTGGACCCAACAAGAGGTTGCTCATCCCAGCTGCTACCTTGAGACAGGATCAGTGCACCCAGGGTAATCCCCCTCCCGCTTCTTCAACAGCCACTACCTGAGGCAGCTCTACAGCTTCCTACAGTCTCCTTTTAGTTGCCTGATTCAGCACTTGTAAAGCCTTTTCTTAAAATTTAACCCAAACCATCGCTCCTGTCAATTAAGCTAAACCTTATTTATCCCTGCCTCCTAGACATAAAAAGTATTTTATCCCTATTGTATGATGCATAGCCTTTATGAAATTCTAAGTTAAGACCTTCCCTCCCCAAATTAATAGATAGATCCTATTCATCATAGATCCTATTTCATCATTCCTCTTTACTCACTTTCTTACAAGACAGCACACAAGGAGTCCCACCTGCAGTCTTACCAGTGCACAGTACAGTAACTCCTTTGGTGTTTTACATACAACAAATGCATGAGTTTGACAAGCCCAATATGAATTTTAGCATTTCAAATTGTTGACTTCAATTCATTTTGTAGTCCATCGTACACCCAGAAGTGCCCAAGACACTACTGAGGTCTTTATTTCCCATTCTGTCTTTGTGCAATTGATTTTTCCTTCCCAAGTCATATTCTGAGAAATTTCTCAGTAATTTCAATATGACTTCATATATTGTCTATTGTGTTTGCTACCTCTTTAAGCTCTGCACCATCCACTAATTCAAGCACAGAAGCTGTTCAGACAAATATCACATAGAATTGAGACAAGAAGAGTTTTCTGTGGGACTCTCCTTGGCTCATGTTCCAGTTTTATCATGAAGAGTGGACATCTGTCAGCCAAAGCAGCTTTGCAGAGAAGGACGTCGGAGTCCTGTTGGACAAGTTGACCAGGAGGCAGCAATGTGCCCTTGCAGCAAAGAAGGGCCACAGCATCCTGGGCTGCATTAGGAAGAGCATCACCAGCAGGCTGAGGGAGGTGATTCTTTCCCTCTCATCAGTGCTGGTGAGACATCTTGGGTGCCGTGTCCGGTTCCAGGATAAGGAGGACATGGGCATACTAGAGTGAGTCCAATGAACAGCCACAAAGACTATTTAGGGACTGGAGACACACAAGAAGAGACCAGGAAAGCTGGGTATCTTCAGCCTGGAGAGGAGAAGGCTCACAGGATCTTATCAATGTGTATCAATACCTGATGGCAGGCAGTACAGACTTTCCACAGCAATATCCACTGTGAGATTTTTCAAGCAGCTGAGTACCCATTTAACAATGATTTAATTCAAGTCACTGTTCCTCAGCTTCCTGATAAAAGTTTAATGTGTCAAAAATCTACCACTTCCCTTAATTAGAGCAGCTATGCTGTCAAGAAAAGGAGATTAAATTTATTGCAACTACTTGTTCTCAATAAATCCATACTGGTCCGTTCCAAATCTGAATCAGAATCTGATTCTTGAAATGTTTATATCTTGAGCAATAGCTTGGTTTTGTGTTTTTCTATCTAACAAAGTTAGGAACAGTAATCTACAGTTTGCTTGACCTTTCTTTTTGAGGGTTGGGGCGGGGGGCAAAAGGGAGGGTGTTGGCTGGTTAGTTGGTTTGGCTTGTCTTGGTATTAGTGAGTTTTAGTTAGTTCCTTAGCACTTAGCAATTTCTCACCCAGAAGACAGTCACTAGATGCTCCAGCATTACTTTATCACTTCCTTCTCTATTTACACAGCCCTACTGACATGGGAACACCTAATTTATTGAAACACTTATTCTTTAGTCCCTTCCTCTCCCAGATGCAGACAGAAAACAGCAGCAGCAACTGCATATTCCCCATGTTGTGTTTCCCTCATTTTGCAGTAAGTAATGGACAAATATTTCATTCAGCTTTGCCTTACTTCTAATCCATTTGTGCAATAACTGTCCTATAGCTTAATATGCATTCTTGATTTCTATACCATATTTTTAATTTATCTTCAGTTTCATGCTTGTTTCTAATTTTTGTGAAACAATTTGACAACCAAAAAGGAAACAAGGTTCTGAACAACTCCGATGATGAGAAAGGCTAAAAACACGGCTATGCTACCTGTGTCTGATGTTTTCTCTTCATGGTTTGAAGCTTGAACATGCAAGTTATATACAGACCTACACACACCTTGCTCCTCTGTGCTACTGGCTTGCTCTTCTATCACTTTCAGGATAGAAAGTAGAGTCCCGTTGGGCTTCAGCCCTTCATGCAGTCTTTCTTGGTAGCTTCTAGGTCTTCTACACTCCCATCTGCATAGAACGTGTTCCCAAGAGGTGTAGCTACCAATTCTCTGCAATTGTTGAAGTCTTTTTTTTATATGTCTTGCTGATATTGCCATCGTTCCCTTCTAAGAATCGTGAACTCTATCACTTTGTGACGATTTTCATTCAAATTATCTACCACCATTAGAATCTTAGCCATTTCCTTCCTATTAATCAGTACCAAATCTAAATGAGCTTCCCACAGTAATTTTCTTCACCTCAAGAAACTAAATTATCCTCAGCATTTATTGCACATTACTCAAACCCCATTTTCAAAATTGAATTTCCTCATTGGCTTTTCTACAGCATTCCTTACAAATGTTAATGAACATAATTTTTATATCTCATTTAAAATTGCTATAGTCTGATTTTCCAGAGTATTAGCATTATGTAGGACTGTCCTTTTAAAGTTGAACTTCAGCTGATTTCAAGCATGGCTATGACTGCTTGCCCTCCTGAAAAAAATCAAGCCTCAGGATCTCAAGAGAATCTGAACTTCTGTGTCCTTGACTTTGCAACTCAGATAATGCTGTTTGAGAATTTTGGGGGTGCCTTATCTCTGCTTCCACTCCCGCCTCCCTGTCCCACGGGTCCCCTCTCCTTACAGACCCTCACGACTTCTATCAATCCATTCTTCTCATTCCTCCCTTGCTTTTGCATCTTTGCTTCCTCTGCATTTGTCCCCCATGGCTTCCCTGGTGGCCTGCCCAGGGCTAGAAAAGGTGGATCACCGCTGTCAGATGAGGGACAAAGTCCTTGTTCACTACTGTAAAGTCTGCTATATCTTTAATGATAGAATAGCTGGTCCAGCTTTTATAGAATATGATAGAATAGGATATTTCAGTTGTAAGGGACCTACAATGACCATCTAAGTCCAACTGCCTGACCAATTCAGGGCTGACCAAAAGTTAAAGCCTGTTAAGGGCACTGTCCAAATGCCTCTTAAACACTGATGAGGAATTTAATCAGAAACATTCAGCTTCATCCTCTTTGCTCCTGACCAGATGGAAAGGCAGAGTCTGGTCAACACAAGACTCTCAGCACACAATAACACGGACAGATTCTCCAAGATTTAGTCACCAAAACCAGAGCTGTCTTCAGTATTTCTGTGCAGACAAGAGCTTTTGAAGGGATAAGTCTTTAACTTTGACCAATTCTTGTTGAGTGTTTATGAGAACTGGAGGTGGCAGATCCTTGACAGAAACCGTCTGACACAAGGTAGAGGTCATTGGAATTTCTCATCATGGCACACCATGTATGTTATCCACTTTTACCCCATCTCATTTCAAATCTGATTTTAGGCATGGGGAAATAAATTAGACAGTTATTACCTAACATTTCACATAAACTTGTTTAGAAAATTAAACAACAGTGACATTTCTAACCTTCCCACCGACAGCCATTGCCCAGAAGAGGAGAGACATTCATAGGTACCATCTCTTTTCAGGAGGGAGAGGGAAAATGGTATTTATTGTTAGGTGTTTGCTTTTTTTTTTTTTAATCTCCCCATTTTAAATCTATGCTGACAGACCAGAGAGCACATCACCCATGCTGAAAGCAGTTACCTCCCCAAGACACCTTCACCACCAGCTACGGCGGCCACAGAGGAAAATCTACATGCTGCTCATTCAAACTATTCCATATTCTGAAACCTCCACATTGATTCTTCGATTCTTGTTTCGATTCATCCTCAAAGACCCATTAAAACAGATATATTATAGGAGACTGAGGTAGACAGTTGTCACCTTTAAGTATCTGAAATGGCAGAGAATCAATAACTTGCAACAACCTCCCTGTTCCTGCCTCACCAACAGGTGTTTGGATTCAATTGCACTTCTTTTGTGAATTATGTTGTCCGTCCATCTGTTATTGCCCTAAGTTCACCGCTGTCTACACTTCTGAGGTATGAGATAATCCTTCGCCAGAAGACAGCCTGTTGTCTGATGACATTTAAATGTAGGAAAGTTGGACGCATTTTCTCAGATAAACTACAAACAGCTTAACCGGTAAAGTTCTGTGTAAACCTGATTTAGTGATTGCATGTTTGTCTAAGCTCTGATCTTATGCCGGTACACATTTAATTTTAAATCTGCCAGGCAATACCTGTTCCTGCTTGATCTGCTTAGTAATTCACCATCTGTATACTGTTTTCATTAAATACAACTTTTCTAGAAAAAAAACAAACCCCCTAAAAACTCACATATGCATAGTGGTTTTGAAATTTCATTATCATGCTGAGGTTTTAATTGCACAGTGCAAATTAAAAAAAAAAATAATCTTGCAATGCAGCCATATCAATAACAGATCTAGCAAAAAGCAAACACTCCCATCTAAGAAGTTTTAATTTAGAATTATATTAAAATGATAACACTGCCAAGGAGGTTAAATAATTAATTTCTTCTCATTTTAATTGTAGACTATTATTTAATAAACAAAGTAATTTACCAGGTAATTTATTCTACTTGTTCATAGGCAGCTCATTTAAAGTCTAAAAATAAATTCCTAATTAAAACAGGATTCACTGTTTTAGAAAGCAACTCATTTTCCTGTAAAATCTAACAAGGACTATGGTAGAGCATCCACTGAAAGTCTTTGAAGGGCAAGGAAGCCAGCAAAAAAAATGAAATATTCTGATAACTGAGAAGGCTTTCATCTGAACAATTAATGGAACACACAAATTTGTCACTAAACCCAGCACTAGATCCTTATAAAGAAACGTCACTAAACACCTAGTGTCCAAAAGCTAACCAACTAGATCAAAGAAATGCATGGTCCTTGAAAAACCATGAAGTGCAGAGACTATTTGCACAACTCTGTACATATATCTAGGCCAGTCAAGAGAAATAAATTTCATATAATGTAGTAATTCCATGTATAGCCATACAACGCTGGGGCCTTGGACTTCTGATATTGAAGGCAGAAGCCCAGAAGGAATTTATTCTAGGTAAGGAGAACTTGTATCTCCAAATCTGCTCACGAGGATCCCACGCACCCGCAACATCATCAGTGTCAACACCATCCCAAGTCCAAAACTCATGCAGATGAATGCCCTAAAAATTACTACACTGATGTGAACTACAACTACCACACGTTTCTAGGCCAATTCTCCAATTCTTCCACAAATGTTGACCTCTTCTTAAAGGCTTACCAGGCTGACATGCTGTTGGGCAGCGAGTCCACTCACTGAACGCCGTAACAATGCAGTCTTTCTTGCAGAGGAGGAGACATGGCCGAACAGTCTCAGGTCTGATGGACTCTGGGCACCTATTCATCCAAACGCAAAGATAAAATATAATAAAAAATTAAAACTACAAGGAAATGTTTTACTCCCAAGACTCTCACAGGGCTGTGAGTGTACTGACATACCAAAGATACCCCTTATTTTTTTATTTTTTAAATTAATTTATAACTCCTAAGTGAAAAATGTCATGCATATTCTAATAAAAGTTTCAGTTAATATTTAAAAGCTCAAAGGGTGGAAAAGGGATCATTTTCTGGGATCAGGCAGATCTTGCATTTCACATGGGGAAGCAGAAAGGGAATTACTCTTTTTTAAGTTTTATTATTTGGAAAAATCACTCAAAAATACTTAGTGATGTATACAACCCAAAATGACCTCATTTTGGAAAGAAAATAAACCTTGAAGTCATGATTCTGTTACTGAGATAGTAATAAGATAGTTAGAGGTATCATTTAAAAGCAAATAAATACAAAGAGACACGTCTTCTCATTAAGCACAATTATCATAGAGGAAGATTTCTGTTATCTTAGAGAAGCATCGAAATATTTTTCTGCAAAAGTTTTAGATTTATTTGGCTTTCTGTGCCTTGCACCTTCTTCTGATATGGTGTAATTGTTCTTCATGTAATCAGTAAAAATGTAGAATATAAAAAAAAAAAATAAATCAGTATACCAACACATAAAGGTTATTTATTTATTTATATAACGCATCCCATTTCTGAAGCCATATAAACAGTAGACTTTCACCACAGCAGTTCTAAACCCAACATTACTTTGGGTCAGTTTTCAATAACTAAAAATATAACACAGCCACAGGGAGGAGGGCTGCCCTCCCCTCCAGCACCAGACCAGCCCAGACCCTCCTGGGAGGTAACGAGGTAATTCTGAAACACACAGGTTTTATTCCTTCACTTAGAACCACCTTTCTAAAAACTTCTAGATGTCTAAGTTTTTTATTTTTAAGATGATTATTACCATAAGAACAATAGGCAGTGCTGCAGCAAGAGAAACAAATTCACTAAGAAGCTCTTTTAAGGACGCAACTGTCCGTTCTGCTCCAGCCATTTACAGTACACAAGGAACGCTGCAGCACTGAAGCTGTGATACCAAAGCCAAGGAGAGCCCCTTTCTGAAGTCCTCAGTACACAAATATCTTATTTTCCAGGATCTGAAATTCTGTTTTCCCTTCACATACTTCCCATGAGTATTTATGTACTCCCTTCAGTTCCATTTCCCCTACGCCATCTCAAGAGCGGAGGGGGCAAACAACTATTTTAGACATTACATAGCTCTATAAACAGTATGTTTAATTAGGTAAAGTTACAGCATATCAATGGATTCTAGATATAAATAAATACTAGATTTCTTTCCTTTTATTTAATTAATCTCATTAACCTCAAGAATTTTAATTAACTTTACTGAAATCAACACAGTCTGCTTATACAAACGGGATTGTTTTGAGAGCTACAATAAGAAATGAAACTCGCTTGCAAGTCTCTAGACTCATTAACGGTGTAAAAAATAATTAGCAATGTCTTAATTTTTTTATATTAGGGAAAACATCTGTGCTACTTATTTTCCTCATTTAGTAAAGCAAAGCAAAATGCAGAGTATTTGTACCGCAGAATACATAATTCTGTCGTGTCAGTATCACATTATAGAAGCTATATAAATCAACTGAACAATATAGATCATGCCTATGGTTCTGCCACATTGTTATTGTGGTATAAATATAAAGCAAACTCTATTTACTTTCTATTTTATTAGAGCATTGTTAATAATGTATCGATGAACGTTATAATCAGATGTACTTTACATTTACCTCACACCTGTCCTTCAGGAAAAAATTGTAAATTAGAATGACAGAGGAGCTACAGCAAAAAATCTACACCACTAAAAACATGTGTTTTGCTTGGATTTACACAGAAAATGAAAATGGGCTAGCTATTTATTTTTTTTATATATGAGTATACCTTTCATAGTAGTGCTGGAATAGTAGCTGGAGAATTAGTCCTGAAATTAAATTATTTTCAAAGCTGCAGATTCCCTACGCTAGCTGAAAATTCTTTCAGATGTCACGTATTCCAACTACAAATAATCACTAATAACCTTTCTTTAAATACCTTTTAGGCGTGACCTGGCCAGAACTGCTCTTCCTGCAGAAGACATTCCTCGTCTGTATGCCCACTCCACACGTGGCTTCTCCGCTCCAATGAGCAGTTGCATTGAGCGCAGTTACCAGCGCGGCTTCAGAGCAGGAACTCCAGGGAGAAGTTTCCCAGAAGAAATGCACGCATGGGTGATCATTACAGGCACGGTGCTCCTGCAGGGCTCGGTCAGGAGGACAGGCTTTTCCACCTGGAAGCAGTCAAGAGAATACCGTATTTTATCCTCTGGCATGTGGCAAAAGGAAGACATGGAAAAATGAATGAAAATGGTAGGTTTGCTTAATATCTTCTTTTTTTCCCATTTAAAATAAATAAATAAATAAAGCTTAAATAAAGCTGTTGACCTTTATGGCTACAATAACAACCTTCTAAAATATCGTTTCCCCATTAAACTAGCCTTGCATAAAATTGTATTCCAATGCATAATGGAAACAGAAATAGGCAAAGCATATTTCTGAGTTACCTTATTGATACTCCTACACACAGCCAAGTTGATTCCATTTAAATGCCAGTATCACTCAGCAAACATGCAATTAGGTTTATAGACAAATTAAACATTATTTTTATGTTCATTCTCCTTGCTAATTTCCCAAGGAGGAACATCTCTTTCTAATATTTGGACTCTATTCACGCGTTGCCTTAAAGATGCTGGACTGGACTGATGGAGGAATGTATCAAATGATACCCACACCCACAAATCAAGGGGGGGAAAACATGAAAGAGAAGTTTTTAATATGAAGCCTTTACTTTTCTGAAGCAGCATCCTTCAAATTGGCATCCCAAGATTTTGCTAAGCTACTGCACTTTGTCAACAATTTGTAATAAATCCACGAAGTACACGATTTTGAGCAGCCTCCCCAGAAGCTTTAACACTTTAGCCAGCAGCCTGAATTTATCCCATAAAAGCAGCAGATGTTCATAGCTCAAAAGCTAAGGAGTAATGCAGTGAAATTGTAACAGTAAGCACTATCATTTTAGGAAGAAAGAAATAAAAATGACTAAAATCAAAACCATTCTCTTCCAGGAGGGAGAATCTGGCAATGCGTGACATGGCAAAAGTGTTACAGGTTTTGAAAGAACTGAAGTGTTGGGGCCAGATACCACAAGGTTCAGAGCATCTTTACGCCCTACTAAAATCAAGAGGAGATGAAGGCATATTGCTCCTCAAAGGGATGCCTATCGCCTTGCAGGACTGAGCCTTCTCAGATAAGGTATGACCCCAGATGGCCACAACCAACAGCACTGAGAAAAGAGAGGGGGATAGAAATTTCTTAGCACACTGATTTGGATAATCACGTCACATTACCGTTCATCTTTTCATGCAAATGAACTATTCCAGTACTCAGTCTCACAGCATGTTTAGTATGAAGATGGAGTAGAAAATGCCCCAGGTAACTTACTTTCCTGAAGATTTTGACTTGGCAGGAAAAACACAGGCCAATTATTGCTCTTATGTGTTTGAGCACATCCAAAATAAAAAAAAAAATAATTGCAAAATGCCTGCTCCATTAGGAAAAAATAAAAGACCTAACTCAAATTTTGAGCTTCCCAGGGAAAAATTAAGCTGGTCTTTTTCAAGAATACCCATGGTAAGGAAGCTCTCCTAAACAAGGGAGGGTAATAACAGGCAGTTTTAACTTAAAAACATAAGAAATGCCACTTCGTCCATCCAACCAGCAGTCTGTCTGCCAAACTGAAAGCAGGAGATGCTGTTTAGCACAAGAGCCTGGCCACTTTCTGCAGTTCATTGACAGCTTTTGTACAAGGAAAGCAAGAACACATGCCACTGCCTAGCCCTTTTAGTAGGCATTTAAGGACCTTTTATAGACCTGTTCCTCACCAGTTTCTCTAATCCGTTTTAAACCTGCTGAGATTGCCTGCCTCCACAGCCTCCTCTTGTACCAAGTTTCAGAAGTTTACTGTATAAAGAAATACCTTTTAAAACCTGATTTAAACCAAGTCCCTCTAGTTTCATCAACAGGTTATCATACTCTGGGATCCGGTGAACAGCTTGGAGAAAAGGACCCAAGGGTTTGAAGTGAAGTCAGCCTGTGGGATGGCATCCAGAGGTCCCGAGACAGTAGAGCCACAGCTAACATTGCCTCAGTCAACAGAGGACAAAATGTCCTGGTACCAAAAGGTACCAGAGCTCTGCAGAAGTCAGTGGCTCATCTGTGAGCTGAGTAGGAGAGTGTCAGAGAAAGCAGGCAACATAACATTGCCACAGTATTGCACTGATAATGGTATTAAATCCACATCCACTCTCCACAAATTCAAAACAATAACTATTTATCTGCATGCAGATGTGTGACGCTGCAGAGCAAACCATTATTCTCATTGCTAAAGATGTACAGAAAAAGTTGGGGCGTTTGATTTTAAAGTTAATTATTCCTTCCTGAGAAACTTGAAGTATTCAGTTCAAAGCACACAATTTTTAGTTTAGTGTGTTTCAGGTTGAGATGACTGAGCTTATGTACTTCCAGAATTCACTTCTTCAACACTTCACTTCCATAATTTCATGTTTATCTGTTATTTGCATTTCGCTGCTTCCATGGAAAATCTGAAGCCAATTGTATTTTTCATTTTAATTATTCTCTAGCTCATAGACTTTTTTTAGTAGTAGTTATTATCATTCAATCGACAATTACACAGCAGTTTTCATCCTGAAGGATGAAAATTTCCTTCGCAAGTGCTTATAAGGATGTTTATGTGAATACAGACCATTCACATGAGTAAGGGTTTGCAAGATCAAATCCTTACATTGCCTCAGAAACAGTGGGTGGCTTTAATGCTAATTTACAAAATAGCACTTAACAGAGCTTGTCCTAGACTAGATTTGCATCTAAGAGTGTTTTGCTGCTGCATTAGTGGCACATAGTGCTGACACTAGTAGATATTTTTTGTTGTGTCAACAAGACTTTAGTCTGCTAGACCTATTCACATTTTATTAATTTTTATGCACTTGATGCAATATCATTCAAATCCTGTGTGATAAACCAACACATAAATGAATTACTGTATGTGTAAATGTAGTTAGAACACCATACTTCTAATATGAATAGTTTGTGTAAATAATTGTATCACTGATGTTGATATGTAAAAATCCAGATACATGATGCATCCATGAAGATACAGAGAAAATTACATACATTCATCATGAGCTATTTATTTATTCCAATAGAAAAACAAGAAGGTCAATACATTCTAGGTCTCCATTAATAAAATAAACAGGTCCTTTTCTATTTCCTCATTTTTCACAGCTCACTAGTCTTTTCTAAATCACTACTAATATGTTCCTATATAAAGACACTCACATGATGAGTTTGTGTCATGCAGCAATTTCATTAGTATAGGATGTAGCTCTCCTGAAGTAAATTCACACCCAGACCAGCCCTCGATAGACAATAATTCATAGGCTGAAGTAAATAATTTTGAACTGCGACAGAATTTCTCTAAGTGACACATGCATTAACTGAAGCCCATAAAGATATTTTAGTCGCTAGGCATGAAGTGCAGACGAGCATTAAGTATTACTCCTCATTGCTATAGTAGTGGGATTAGCTCTGATCTAAATACAGGTTGGCTGAGGAATGCAAGTCAACTCATTAAACAAACAAACAGCGACTAATCCAAAATGTTTACCACTCACCCTCGGCTGGAAGGGCCAAGATGGACCTGCTCCTGCTTTGACTGCCCTCAGCGTTTTTACTGGAGCATGAGTGGGAACACGGGGACCACGGGGACCACTCGCTGATGACACAGTCCGTTGCACAAGGGATTTCACAAGGCACAACCTCAGGACGGGGAAACTCTGAGCAGAGGTGATGTGGTACTTCTTCACCTGGAGCAAACAAAACAAATCAGACATGGAGGAACGTTCAACTTGGTTCAATATCCACGGTCTACATCAAACAGACTAACTTTATATCAGGCACCTGCCTGCCCGTGGAAGAATATAGTACAAAAGAGCATGTGGTAAAGCTTCAGGCTTTAAAGTATAATACTTTTTATATATATATAAAATATATATTTTTAATATTTTTTATATTACTTTCAGAAAAACAAAACAGAAAAAATGTGTTTCACAGTCCACTTTATAAAGCAGGCAAGCATGAAGAATGAGATAATTCAATCAATAAAAAACTGTAATATCAATTATCAACGGAATTGATGATAACTGCCCCCTGTTTTTCAGCAATCTCCACCTACAAAACCTATTTTCCACAACAGAAACTGTTCAGGTCCCCACAGAAGACAATATTCCTCTTCCTATAGGCCAGCAAAGTGTCCAATAGGCGTTTTGGTCATTCTCCTGCAACTTCACCAGAACTAACCAGGCACCGTTTCTGACTCAGCTTCTCACCCAAAAACTAGCAGAGCCAAACTAATGGATCTGTTGGATCACCCCCATCCAAGGAAGAAATACTTCCTGTTGGGGACGAATCAAGAGACCTGGACCAAAATATACCCCCTGATGAGAAGCATCTTTCCAAATCCCCTTTCAACAAGATGGTAGGACATTGGGGGTGTTGGGGGAAAAAACTACCAACCAAAAGAACACCTGGCAGAATGAGCGACAAAATGAAGCATGCATGAGGGATGTCACACGGAGTCCAACACATGGAACTCTTGGTTTTAAAAAGCAAAATAACATAATTTTATTTTTTAAAATAACAAAATGAAATGTCCAGCAATTTTAGTAATTGCATAGAATTTATGAGGACCTCATAATTCATAAAAATTCATAAAACTTAACTCTTTTGGCACTGAATTCCACATAAAGTCTTACAAATATAATTCAAGTGATGAACAGATGTGACTGACCTTGCTACACTGTTCTCTTGCTTAAGTGTTTCTAGACCCTCATGAATTTTCAGCTAACAAATCCAAAATTTCTGGAAGCTCAAATTTACTTGTTTGTAAACAACAAGCTCAAGCTGAACGTTACCTCCTCTTTTGCCCTTATAACAGTTACAAAGCTCTCCTTCGAGGTTTCTTTAATTATGAATCTAGGAAAAACCATAATGACTATCCAGGCTCAATTATACATAGGAAAAAAAAAATTAAAATTTATAATGGCAACAACTGGCTCTTTCACCTCACGCTACAGGAATAGGGTCTGTAACAAGGCAGCCCAGGATGCAATTATAACTCGGAGGGTAGAAAATTGTACTGCTTTTGCAAGGCAACACATGTACAAGTGAGTAAATAACAGAGGCAGGCTGCTAGCGAGAGTGCATAAAACTGTCAATAGCACGGTGGTATTATCCGCATCCCTAAATGAAGACAGGCTCATCGCCCTCGAGGCACAAATAAAACTTTTCAAGCATATTATGAGAAGTAACGGAGAATCTAGCAGGCAATCAGACTGCAAGATATGTTTAAAAATACTTTATTTTTATACTCCCTTTCCCTCGCGCTCATCAGGAAAGGCTCGATATGCCCAGCCTTTGCGCTACTATTTTAAGTCTGCTGAACAAGAAAATGGAGACCAACACCCTCCCTACAGACAGCCCCCACCCTTCAGTACTGAGTTTGGCACCCCTGCAAACCAAGCTTAATCCATCATTCGCTTCGACTAGCCCATTATCACCACTGCTGCTTTGGATGCTGACATAATACTGAGAACTATCTTTAGAGAAAAACAACATAAAAATGCCAAATAAACCTGTAAGCCTTATTCCAGGCTGTCTTCCTGAGTCATTTTAGTGTCAAATCCCCGCTAACATTTTGACAGCTTGTCTGTACGGTGGCAGATAACACGAGGGCATCCTGGGCAGGCACGATTTTAGGAGTCAATGGTACAGTAGCATCAAGAGATTATATGCTTTGGTGAAGTAGGGTAAAACATCTGTCCTCCTCTCCCATCACTGACACCTCCCAGGGGAAGCACATGAGCCGTCAATGACAGGGTTCTGAACAAGAAGAGATGAGATGGGACACTGGCCCTGCAAGCGTGCCCCCCTCCCCTCCACCCATGCAAGAAGTTATCTTCATTATACAGAGTTGATGGCAAGGGAGCGCCACGAAGTTCACCGAATTCTGGATTTAGCCCAACTTTTCCACCAATCAGATAGTGCCAGAGGTACACATCAGAGAAAACCCTACTTGCTGAAAGCCATGGGAGCCTTTCCACTGATCCAATCTGATCTTACAAAGTTCAAGCCACTCCACTCAGAAGATGGCTCAAAACACTTGGGTCTCCTTTGGGGTGGCATCTTCCATCCATGAGCCCAGGTGCCACAGATTTTCAAGCAACCACCCTGTGGGGAAGGGAGGCAAATGAGCAAAACGTGCTTTCCGCTTCTTCCCTCTGTGCTTTCTTTTCCCCCTGGATTTACAGCAGGTGACAGCAACAGTAACGCTGCAAACAGAGGCTGCAATTCATGGTTCCTCAGCAAAGAAAGGAAGCTTTGAGTTTTGTTATAAAGAGTTTACCACCCGGTGCATGAAGGTACAATTCAACACTCAGTTTGATTTACTTTATAGCTCTATTCGCTGTGTTCAGGTTTAATTACGGGCTTGTATTACTGCAGAAGGGAAACGTTCTTCTGTACCAGCTGCCTGACAGAGAATTCTTAGAAAAGTACTGTATACTACAAAGAGAGGTAATAATCTTTCATTTTCTATGAAAAATACTAGTACAGGAAACATCTGAAGTGTGCTTTATGCATTGTCACAGATTTACAGGGAATATTAAATTCTCCAAAGCTTCCAAATTGTCCACCCAGTACCTTGAAGGTGTAATTCTTCTCAGATATTCTGAATAATCTTTCTAGAGGAGGCTTTCTCCCTCTCTAAATAGGACTAATGCCTTTAAGCACCTAAATTATTCATACTGTGTTCAGATGCATTGTCCTCCAAATATGCGTTTAAATCTCAGGCCGCAGCATCTGAAATCGGCCCTGGAGAGCAGCAGGGTGGGCAATCGCAGCAGAAGGACGCCAAGCCAACTTCCCTTCAGGGAAAATAGGGAAAGGGACCGCACTGACCATGACAGCCACAACTTTGGTCCCTGTTAGAACTTTTTTGATGAGAAGCCATGACATTGCTCTGAAGTTCATCTGGAATAAACTGAGAGCATCGTTCATTCATTCATCAGTAAACTGAGTTGTCCAAGGCAAAAGGACAGAAGACTTTTTCAAAGAAAGAAGAAGAAAAAAAAAATTTTTAAGTCCTAGGTTCTGTGGGGTCGTCTCGTTAGCTTGGACCAGATCCAGCCCATCCAGTCCAACCCCCCACAGAGGTTACCACCGCTATCTTTGTTGGCTCTCCTCAGATACAACTTGCTAATTTCATTTTTTTTCTCCCCCTTGAGACTGCTCAAGCACCCAGAATTAGTCTTAAGGAATTATGTTTACTCCAAAGAGTATTTTTTCTGCTGTAATACTAAAGAGTACAAATCCACAGGTGTTAGTGAGATGCAACTGGGGACCTGGTTAGGATGGTGACTGAGCAACTGAACATTCAACCTAATGTTGAGGACACAGCTAAGGGGGGCTCAGATTGGGGGGAACCTTGGGAAGTGCTTTCCTATCCTTAGGGTAACCACAAACAACTACTGCTAAGACAACTGCACATGGAAAGCACCAGCTTTAAAACAGAACTTATACTTACATTTTACAAAGAGCTACAGCTGTTGATTGATTTGTGCAAGTCATGATCAACACAGCACCTTGAAATATTCCTTTTTGACTTATTCCACGCTAAGAAATATAACAGGGCTGTGAGTCAAGGGGAAATTATTTTTCCATATTATGAAATGTTCTAAGGTTTCAAAGCTTTCAAATTTTTATATGCCATATTAGGACAAAATCCACATCTTTCAAAGAACATATTTTTTAAAATGCGGGAAGGGAGAGGGTGGGGAGAGAGCAAGAGCCTAACTACATGTGTGTGGGTTTTAGCCATCACCTGTGAGGCACAACACACAAGATCCAACCTCTGATCTACATCAGGTATAAGAATTGAACCAGCATCCCAGGAGCCACAGTGTTCACTCTCACGTGCTCTTTATTTCATGTTTTAAGCACAGTTTCTGTTCTCAGCCTTGCAGAATGCATGCTTTCCTAAAAAAAAAGTTAAGAAAAATGTTACAGTTTTCTATAAAGAAATGTTTAACTGCAAGCATCCTGACCAACTCTAACGACTTTTTTTTTTAACTGATTGCTTTGTACTTGAATAGTTAGTACTTGAATAGTGATTAAAGCTGAATATCCCAGACATTTCAGCAGAAAATTGTGTGGTTTAACTTCAGCCAGCAACCAAGCCCCACCCAGCAACCAAGCCCCACCCAGCCGCTCGCTCACCCTCCCTGCCCCTGGTGGGATGGAGGAGAGAATCTGAAGAGCAAAGTAAGAAAACTCAGGGGCTGAGATAAGAACAGTTTAATAACTGAAATATAATAATAATAATGAAAAGGAAAACGACGAGTGAGAGAAAGGAACAAAACGCAGGAAAAACAAGTGATACAACTGCTCACCATGCACCAACCAACACCCAGCCAGTTCCTGAGCAGCGATCACTCCCCCCAATCAACTCCCCCCAGTTTCTATACTGAGCATGATTCCCTATGGTCTGGAATAGCCCTTGGGCCAGTTGGGGTCAGCTGTCCTGGCCATGCCCCCTCCCAGCTTCTTGTGCCCCTGGCAGAGCAGGGGAAGCTGAAAAGTCCTTGACTGGTGTAAGCCCTGCTCAGCAACAACGAAACCATCAGTGAGTTATCAACATTCTTCTCATCCTAAATCCGAAACTAGGAGCCAGCTACTAGGAAGAAAATTAACTTTATCCCTGCCAAAACCAGGACAACAGTATTTTTAACATAGGAAAGACTGAATCCAT